AAGTTAGGATCCATGTTGATATTATGATTATAATAGTTGTTATATCTTAAATGTTCATTCTGTAAAAATATGTTATGATTATGAATATTATTATTATTAAGTCACTATTTGGAAAAAAACATATGATGGATGAGAAAGCTATAAAAATATTGAACTTTTTAAAGCAAGCAATTGAAATGTTACAACGAGTAATGTGTACTGCATGCTGAATTTTTTTAGATTGAATTTGATGTAAAATGGCTACTTCTCGAAGATTGCATTCTACCACCTTCTTGGTAATTTTCTTGGTATGGGCGAGCGTATTGGAAAGTTGGGGACAGCACTGTGGGAAAACAGCATATGGAAGTAAGAGAACCGATTAATTGATAAGCTTGCTGTAAGCGAGCGAGATTCTAAAAATGAAGGCTTTTCTTTCTTTTCTGTTTTTTTTTTTCGTGTGACCGACCCAAATGGTAGGTTATATACTCCGAGACATTCTTAGGGGAGACCGTGGAGGCTGGGGATAAGAATCGTCACGACTTTCATTGTATGCAAATGAGTCTCGTGATGAGCATGTTGTTTATCTTCGGCGATGACTGAAATCTAGGCATTAAGTTGATCACGTTTGTGTTCGCTGTTTGCCAATGATGTAATGATGTAATTTTCCCCATTTTCACGTTGTAGTCGTACAACGACGGCTAAAAAATCGCGATCAACGTTAAAAGTTGTTGTTTAAGCTCTCTATTGGTGCAATTACTGAACTCTACAGTTAGATAGATTCACTTTGTTGAATGTATATACGCTGTGGTTATATACTCGGCAGCCGAGAAGGGTCATATAAAAAACTAAATGCCCAGCAGTCAGAGAATTTTTAGGAATTTTGGAAAATCCTTTTTTCTAATTGTTTGACAGTAGTATTCTTTCTTAATTTAGAATAACCAAGCGATCAGGTAAACAAAACTGGCTTCTCAGCTGAGCGTTTGTGATTTGTTGGGCATAGAGCGGAGTCGACGCTATTTCGACACTTTCAAAAAAACTTTGTATGAGTAGCAGCGCGCGACTCACGGGCACGATTTCACACAGGCTAGATACTCGGTAGTCTAAAAGCGGAGCTGGAAAGTTAAAAAGCTTCCTCTTCAGCTCCAGAATACATGCATAGTAGCTTCGATCAGTTTCCCAAATAAAACGGAGAGAGAGTGCTTTGATTTTAAAACTAAATATTTCGCAACCTCTGCCCGCCTTCAGCTAGACTCTTGACACAGCTTGATATACTGGTGGTGCTGCTGAATCCTGGGAAAAGGTTCGTCTAATTATGGAAAATTATTATTTCTTCAAAATTATTATTTCTTCAAAATATTCTATCCTGGTTTAGAATTGGTGGGTGACGAGAGACATCCCCCGTTTGAGTGTTACTTCACTGACTGTGATCTCCCTAATAACATTTGATGACTTTCGAGCGGTTTCTCCTCTGCCTTGATCCTTCCAACGTTTTCAGTGATCTCCCGTTTTGGGTTCTCAATTACGACTGATCCCCTCTTTTGTTCTCCTAAAAATCAAGTGATCCCCCCACCCCTTCCAAAAAAATCCTGCGCCCCCCCTCCCGGCGATAAAGAATGACGAGCGTGTAGGAGCCAGTGAGATTATATTTTGGCATCTAAACATGGCATTGCTAAAAAGGGAAGATTCTTGGTACGCGGTTACACTGAAGGTGATTCATCTACGATCTCACTGGCAATAGCCTTCTTCACCCCGAATCGGCACTGACTTAAGGATGGGAAAATTGCCCTTTTTGGCGTTCGCACCGCTTCCTTGATTCATCCTTGTTGATTTGTTGGCTTGATCTTGCGGTGTAGGGGTGGGTGGAGAGTACATAAAAAAAATAATTTAAGACATTGTATTATTGATAAGAATTGTCCTATTGAATATCTTTTTCTTTTAAATATATGTAAGACGCTCCACAAGTGGACTTCTTTGCCACTGTTCATGGTGACAATTCGCTTTCAGAAAATCCACAACGTTTTTACAACGATATTCTGGTGCAAAAGGACTCCAATATTACCTTGACATGCACTGCAAAGGGGCCGAAAGAGCCATCTGTGTGGGCAAGCTCGCACTACTACTATCCGTATGAAATGAACTGGTTTGTCAACTCAACGTATCTGAAGATGCCTATCTGCACTTACAAAAAACCCAGCCCGAATAAGGCCTGTATTCTGAATTTGGGTAAAGTACAGCCAGATGACCGTGGGAGATATTTCTGCCAGGCAGTTAACCGAGGGGGATGCACTTATAAGGAACTGAATCTTACTGTCACTGGTGGTTACAGTACTACCACTGGTTCAAGTAAGTAACGAAATTCAGAGCCAAATATTTGAATCTTTCAATCTTTCTTTATTTCACACTATATAAGGCGTTTACACAAGTGTACGTAAGTAGGAGAACGATATAGCTGTAAATATATGGAACTGACAATAATTTGTATGCAATTTTAAGCGATGTGACTTCCCTGGTTTCACGGCAAAATATGCTGGTGACCCTGTGGTTTTCAATGAACAACCCCCAAAAAAAAAAAAAGTACCACAGAGACTACAGAGACCTCAATATCTTACTAGGATGGCCATGTGAATGTCACTTGAATAGGTTATTTAAATAGTGGAAAGGTGTGATGTCCAACTTTTCACTAGTCAGGTGTGACTAATGAATACACGTAAATACAGTGAAACAAATACATCATAGCATGAGTCGATTAAAAAAACAAACAATGCTGTCGTATAATTGCACTGCATATGTAGCCCCGATACATGGTCTTAAGATTCAAATTATCAACAGGGGTTATAACCTGTTACACATAGTTCCAAAAGTTACAGTGGAATAAAAGAATTAAACGGGACATTACATGATGGACTTAGAAGCCGTTACATGGGGGTTATTAGTAAAATACAACTAGTGGGTCTATTATTAATGCTGCGTTCTAATTGGTTGAGCTACTGCTAGGCTATATGTTATAGCCCACTAGCAGCGAAAAGCGCGGGCCTTAAATCACCTCATCTATGGTTTACAGCGACAGATGTGAGTTTTACTGTGGCCACTAAGGAAAGTTTTTGTGGTTTGTGACAACCCTATGACATTTTTTTTTTCTTTCCATCATTTGGTTTAGAACAAACCTCCAAAACACCAGATTACGAAACGAACCTGGTGCCAGCAATATCTGAGGCCCCAGCAACACATGTGGTCCCACCAACTTCTGTGCAGGACCAAGCAACAACAGTTTCCTCAGTAACACCAATAGTGCAAGCAGCACGTGTTTTCCCATCAACACCTGAGGATGTTCCAGCAAGAAAAGTTTCCCCAGTAAAACCCGAGGCGCAAGCAACACGTGTTGATGATGATGATGATGATACCTCTTTTAGCGGTGTATAACCACTAAGTGGTGACACAAAAATAAGTTAAAAAAGAATAAATCAATCAATTAATTAATTAAAAATAAAGAAATATAAGAATTAAGAAAAACTATGTACAGTATAAGCAAATAAGAAACTCGAAAGAACTATATACAATATTGTATGAACAAATGTATCTATTATCTTTTAAAAAATAAGAAATAAAAAATTAAGAAATGCAAAGAGAGCAGTTAGAGCAGTTATTGTCGTCTAATAGCATGCTAAGATCCACTTTTCCGATGTTATACTTGAAGGAGGACAAGGTGGAAGCTTTTTTCAAGTTACTAGGAACAGAGCTCCATACCTTTGGGCTCATATACCTGAGCGAGTGCTTTCCAAAGGAGACTGTGTTGAATCTGGGTATAGTGAGGTCATGATTGTGCAGTTTATACTTAATTGCAGGCTGTTCAAAGAGAGTGCTAATGTGTGTTGGGCACATGTTGTTTTTCACTTTATACATGAGAATAGCTATGTCCTGTAGTCGCCGGCTGTGTAGAGTACATAGCCCGGCCATAGATAGTAATTGGCCATAGGACGAATGTTTATCACAATATATAGCCCTAAGTGCTCTCTCCTGGATACGCTCTAGTCATCTAGAATCACTAGCTCTGCAAAAATGTCATATAAGATGACAGTAGGTTAAATACGGTAGAACAGCTGCCTTACATAACAGTAACTTAGTTTGTGTTGGTATAAGGTTCCTAAGCCTCATGAGAACGCCTACCCGCTGGGCGCTCTTCTTAGAGATACTACTTATATATACATCAAAACGAAGATTGTTATCAATACAGACACCTAATAGCTTGAGACATTCAGTGAATCTGACTTCATGATTGTCAATCATAATACTGTCCATAGACTCCCTTCCGCAACCAAGTGCCATTGTCTGTTACTTGTCCAAATGTCCCTTTAGTAAATTAGCTCTGTACCATGAAGATGCTGACTCAGCACAAACAGCAAGATCATCATGCACATCAGAGAGGGTGCTGCCAACGGCATAAAACTGGTGGTCATCTGCATACATATTCATGTTCGCATCAACAGTGTAAGTCAAATAAGAGGTCCAAATCCAGAACCGTGTGGGCATCCCCTGGTCACCCTCTGCTACTTACTCACTACAGATCCTAGCTTAACCCTGTTGTAACGGTCTGTGAAGTAGGAGCCCATCAATCGCAGACTTCTTTCCTCAACATCATAAGCTTTAAGTTTTGCAAGTGTAAATGGATGGTAAAGTGAATCGAAGGCTTTGCTTATGTCCGTGGAGAGAACTCCCACAACGTTATGCTCATCCAGAGCGAATTTCCAAATCTCAGTCAAAGACAAGAGAGCTGTCTCACAGCTATTGGTTTTCCTGTAAGCTGTTAGTTTGTCGCACAGTTTGATATTAAAACCATAAGTAAGTTGCTTGCTGAGTAATTGTTCAAAAGAGTTTGTTTACAGTAACTTATACAGTTATGGGTCTGGGTCCTTTTCATGGGGATCTTCCTTCTTAAAAACGGGTGTCCATTCACCCCTTTTTCATCCCAAGGGCCACTCTCCGAGGGTTATACATGAATTAAATAGTGACGTCAACGGATTTGTTAGCTCAGTAGCTCCAAGCTTGAGCGCCATGGGAGGGATGCCGTCCCAGCCTGTACTCTTCCTTACGTGGGGTTTTGCATCGCCTTTTCAACTTCAAAACTCTGAAGATTCTGAAACTGGAAGCCTTGATATCCTGTCATCTTCTGCGTAATATTCTGGACACTAGGGTGGGTGGCGAGAACTTTGTCATCAACCGCACTGATGTCTCCAATCCCATCAGCCACAGTAGCAAAATATTCAGACAAGTGATTAGAAACCGCACATTGATCTCTACAGATGGTCCCATTGATACTTAGGCTGAGCTCATTTGTGTTAACCTTGTGCTTATCAGAAATGTGTTATAGAACTCACTCGGCTTGCACGTAAGCTTAGTGGCTTGCTCTTTCCAATATGGCCTTATTGCCTTTCGGCGGCGGCGGGTGGCCTCGTTTCTGGCTATCCGCCTAGCTTCCCAGTTCTCACTGGTTTGTTCCTTGAGATACTTTCTTGCCGCCCTCGTCTTAGCTCTTATGGCACCTTTCCATTCTTTAGTCATGTGTGGAACATCCTGAGCCCTAACCCGCATCTTCTTCTTGAGCATATGTGTATTGACAATACTGGACAGAAGCATTTCCATAAAATTTGCCTTGTCGTTACATGAATTGAAAATTTCACTAACATGCCATGGAGCATACATTAGATCTTCTTTGTATTTCTCCACATAAAAATCTTTTAGAGGTTTAAATGTTACAATCTTGCCTTTCTGGTGTTTTACCGTCTCATTCAGGAATCCATAAATAAGTCCGTGGTCACTGAGCGCAGGATCATGTACCCCACGATTCTCAAATAGTTCCGGGTGGTTAGTGAGAATAACATCGATCAAGCTGTTAGTGACAAGAGAGCCTCTCATTTGTATTCGAGTGGGTTCGGTCATCATACATTCAAGGCCCTGTGTCACCTCAAGAACAAGAAGAAGCTTTCCTTCAGGGCTGCTGGGTTCCATCCTGTTCAGGTTTAGGTCGCCTGTTATTATAACCGTTGGACATTGAAGGTTAGCCCAGTTGGCAATATGACTTAATTCCTCCTCAAGTAGAAGTCTGTATTTACCAGTAAGCTTCTTAGGCGGTCTGTAGATAACCAGTATAATCGCATTTCTTGATTTGAGGCCAATCTCCAAGGCCACAGGCTCAATAGTTTTATAACACATGTCAAAAGTGACTCTCTTGGAGAGTATCTTAGATGAGACAAACAAGAGAACAGCACCTCCACCCCTTTTTCGGTCATTTCGGTGCAAGTAGTACCCTGGTATTAGGAACTGGGAGTCTGGGTATGAACGATCAATTTTAGTCTCTCTGACAGCCATAATTTGCACTTTATTATTGATAATAATATCCTTCCGCTCATCAAATTTGTTCTGAATCCTTTTTTACCGTATTTCTAACGATAAAAACTTTATCCCAAAATATCTCCGCAACACTCTTACAGATTCCGTTTTAACTTCACGAACATCGAGGCGACCATTGGAGGAAAATGCTGCCGTGAACGATTTTGGAAGAACAGTTTCCAGTGAGAAATGTTCCTGCAAGCATGGATAATAGAAAGACTGGATAGGAAACTTATGACACGTGGGCTGATTTCTTATCGCCGATTGGTTGGTTCGTGCTCCAAGATGGCGTTGGATGGTTCCATCATAGTGGAGATTTGTGACGAAACGATGGCCAAAATGTGGTGCAAACCAGTCGAAATGTAGGGTTTCTTTGCCTGCATGTTGTTCTTTTTCAGATTTTTTAGTGGTACTTTAATTTTTGGTGGGTGTTTTTTCCTTCGCTTGTTGTCTTACGGTGATGGCGATCCTTCAAAGCCACACTTGAACCTTCAAGGTAAGCACTTCTTGTTGTTGTTTTGAGAAAATTGCGTCCCAGAAATTGCCCTTACCAGAGCCATATTTAGTACACTTGACGACTGTTTTGGGACGCCTTTGTTATGATGGTTTCTTCTTGTTTGTATTCTTAGCTACGATTGACAGATGTTTTAAGAATGGAATTGTGGCATAGGCATAGTTACAGGCTGAATGCTGTTATTTTTCAGCCATAAATTTCATTTGAAAATGGCTGAAACTGATTACGTTCGGAGCTGGCGCCGAGCAAGGGTACGCACACGGTGTTTAAAGTTCCGATCGATCGACAAGTTTGTGTTGAGAACTGTTTCGCTCAAGTAATATCCTAGATTACCCTGCTATATTGTTTGTAAAGTAGTATGTTAATTTCGCTCATCTTTTAATGTTAAAATAAAACTACTATATCACATATCCAGTAAATACAATCATCGCCTCACGTCGCTCCTCGCAGCTTGTATTCGAAGGCACTGAAGAGACTGGAATAAATTTTGTACTTTTCCGTTACATAAACTATAAATAATTATTGCATCAATGGGAAAACACCTACTGACATTTTTGTCCGTTTAGGCTCCTAAGTGTTGTTGTTATTTTTTAAACAGTGTTTTACCTTTTTTTTTTTTTTTTTTTTTTCTTTCTTGTAGGATTTGCCAAACACACATAGTCAATGAAGACAGTAAAATTGTGGTCGAGTACTCTCCTGAGAGGGCACAAATCAATCAATCTTTCTGTATTTAACAGCAACAAAGTTGCTTTTGTCATGCATGAGAGCCAGAAGATGGCATCTAAATCATTTATTATAAGAAACTTTATTTATCACTTCTGAAGTGTATTTATTACTTTCTTGTGAGTGGGACAAATTGACTGTGTTTGAGGGTCTATGCTTGTATTAGCTACAGAGTCATGTGTTTAAGTTGGTTAGTGTTCTTCCCTGAAACGGTCTATATCTGAATCACATTGTTTTTCAAACCAAAGATGGACTTGATTAGCACTATTATTGTATTCGGTTTTTTAGAGATCCAAAGCAACAATGTACCTGTACATGATAAACCTTACCAAGGTATATTCTAAATCAAATTAATAAAACATATACCTGTACTTGTTTGGGGTATGCATTTTGTTTTCAACAACATGATAGTGTGACCAGACAGTTATATTTTTTCAATCCCTCATCCACTTATCTCAGACTAAACAAAAACCCCATAACCCCTGATGTTACTGTTTTTTTTTTCTCATACATATAAGCAGCTTCTATTTTTCTTTGGGAGCAGTGTTTATGTTTATTTCAGAGGTCATGAGAGGTGAGTTACAGTATTCCCTATCCATATCATTAACACTACGCAAAATTTAAACTTTGTTTCATCCTAAAAAAAGGTCAGTATTTCAAAGATAATACATTTCTAGGTTTTATTAAGCCTTATGGAAGACAAGTGTTTTCTTATGAAAAAGAAGAGAAGGTTCTACTATTAACCAGGAGAGTTTGCTTTCCAGTTGTATTCGAGTATTGTAGTTAACAATTAACCCCT